TTATTCATGGGATCTAGGTGGCAAGCTATTCAACTCATGGAATAACAATTAGTTTTAGTGAGAATCAGCAAAGGGTGCTGCTCTTGAAACCATTAATAAAATGACTTTTTTTTTTTTCACAAGCAAGCTGAAAACTTCCCTTCCTTCCTGGTGTTAAATGAGATATAGAAGGGCCCTTAAGTAGAAAGGGTGGCTTTTATGTGTGAGGAACTTCCTTAGAGGTCACCAGGCATCCATCCATCAGTGGCTATATCCTAGGGAAGAGGGCATGGTGATATCCATCTGGAGAATGCCAGGGGCTAAGGGGTTAAGTTGAGCCATTTTAACAGGCTGGTAAGAAGCATCCATGCTGCATAATTAATACTTCATTTCAGTGGATCACTGATGAATCAAAGTCGTTAATTTGTCTTGTGAATACAGATTGTGCAACCACAGGGAGATTGTAATTGGGTGGCAACTGACAATAGCTCTGGTAAACCTTCGTTGAATGAACCAATTGGGGATAACTTGGCAAAGAGGGATAGAGGGATTTGTGTGTGTGTGTGTGTGTTTGTGTGTGTGTGTGTATGTGTGTCTCCCAACCTATGCTTTTTAGTTTAGAAATAAACATGGAAGCTGATCCGACAAAGGAAGTGGTTTTTCTAAGAGCACACAGCTGGTAAATGAGACTTGTGATTTTTCTGGGACTTTGGTGATTTTTAATTTTATTTAATTTCTTGGAAATGTACCCTGGGGAAGTAACTAGGGAGGTTAGGACAGGGGCAAAGGACACTCAGGGCTGCTGCCAAGTTGCAAAGCAGACAAGTCAAAATCTTGCTTGATTTTCAACACCACACTTGTGGAAAAATGTTCATGGCTCACCATCCCCAGAAGCCAAGAAACACTGCACCGTCCCAGTCTGCCTTCTCTGGAAAGGCCAGCCATGATTTTCCGGTGTCATAATAGCAGTGGAGGTTTCCAGTTGAGTTGAGGACCCAGAATGGGCCCTTTGGCTTGGAACTGGGAGGGTTGACAAGGACTCAGTAGAAATGGGACTAGAAGATGGCCACCATCTTCCAGGGTAGTTTAGATACACTGTCACTGTCCCCAGAACCTGGAGATACTCAGGACCCAGACTCTACTGTGTTTATCAAATCCATTTAGATGACTCTTTGTCTTCCTGATATTCTGAAAGGCACTCACAACAGCCATGGGGCTAGAGGGCTGACTCAGCTGTAAGGTGAGGGTGGCTGTTTATCTACCCTCCCTACTTTGGATTAATAAGCATCCGGAAGTACTAAGTGTACCTGTTTGGAGACTAATCAGGGAGAGCACCAGGGACTCTTTGGGCCAAAGAAAATAGCATGTTCTGGAAGTGCACTCAATAGAACTGTTATGGTTTGAGCCGCCTACAGAGCCTTTCTTCTCTTTGCCCTGTCTCTCCTCTTTCCAGTTGTCTTTCTGCCTCTCCCTTCTTTCTTTCATTGGCTCATGCTTCTCTCTTCTCACAGCCTTCAAGCAAAAAGAACCATGGTTTTCTAGTCTCTCTGGAGGTGCAGCAAGCATCTGGAGGATTCATTTCCTTTCTGGACAAGTTTTCCCAGAGTCCTTTCTTCTAGGTCTTAGAATGTTCCTCTCTTCTCTAAGCGAATGGTGTTTGAGCAGTCTGGGTCCATGAACACTTCACTATGAAAGTACAGAGCGTCTGAGCTGCAGAGACACACTGCCAGCAGTCCTGTTCTCTAGCCCAATATAAATACAAGTTACTGCAGCTACAATAGCTTCAAATTAGCAGAAGGGAAATATACTTATCAGTGGGATGCTTTTAAAAATAACACACTTTGTTTTTCTATTAGAAAATTAATATGCCCCCACAGAGAATTTGGACAGCGCAAAGATGCTTACGGGATGAATTAAGTTACTCTATTTTGTGGTTATTTTTACAAAGTTTGTACATTTTCTAAGGAAGATGAGACTCTCTACTGAGGAAATCTGGCTTTCTAGTTCTGGTGTCTTCTCTGGCTGGGAATGTGGCTCATTTGGCAGAGTGGTTGTCTAATATTCACAAAGTCATGTGTTTGATACCCATCACTGTTTAATACAGAACATAGACTCAAGAGGACCTGGAGTTCAAGATCATTCTTGGCTGCATAATGAGTTAGAAGCCAGCCTAGGATATATAAGATTGTGTCTTACAAACAACAAACAAGCACAAGTGTCTTCTCTTTTAAATAATATTGTCATCTTAATATTGATGTTTTTTATTGCTATAAATTCAAAATGCCAAATCATGGACTTTCATAATTGATAGAGCAATTATTTTATTCCACAGAGCTTGATGATCCAATTTACTGTTAGAGATATTCCAGGAGACACACCTGAAACAGGATTGCAAAGCAGCTCTGAGAGCTGTTGAAAATATTAGGTAAAAGGTGGAAAGACATTTCTATGAGCTTACATGGAAAACGCAAATAACTTTCAGATAGATTCAGAATGCAGCCAGGCACCCGAAGCCAGAGAGTAGATTTTTTATAAAGATGCTTATCACGCAGTCTCTACTTTTAGCCTTACTAACTAGGTAGCTCCAATGCTGAGATATTCTCTAGGACACTGTCATAGTCACCTGGCTTTAACTACAGGGGCATCAGCTCAACACCTTGCGCAATTTTGCTGGAAATCTGGTACTTACTTTCCAACTTCTAGCAAAGTTTCTGGGAAAATAAAGATCAAAAGTTTTAAACGAGCTCAGGAAGTAGGTGGGTGGGACTTCTTTGTTGGCATGGATTTGTGGGTAGAAAGTTCTTTTTCTTTTTTTTCTCCCAAGAACAGTGTGCTATATTGATGGACCATGTCAACCAGTGTAATGTCCCTGAGAATCAGAACGTAGACAAGTACTCTTTGTCAACTGGGGACACAAAGGAGGATGTTGGGATGAATGAGTGACTGCATGCATTTTCAAGGCATTTAATTCATTATGTCCTATGCCAGTGCGTGTTGAATTAAAACTCAAAGAATATGCATAATTCTTATCTGGGGATCAGAAGGGCCCCTCTGGGGATGCATGTTAACCAGTTCTGGAACCTACTCTGGATTCACAGCCAGCTGTGGGTGGTGGTTTGCGTGAAAGTCCAGCTAGAATGTCAGCAGTGTGCAGGAATCGGTGGCCTTTGGAGCTTTCCAATCACTTGCAAAAATTAAGAGTTGCAAAAGAGACAGGCCTGTCTATCTTACACGACTTTATAACGAGATCATTTAAAATCCGAGTCAATGTTTTGTCTGGAGAGGTTGACAGCCACTCACTGGAAGGGCTTGCGAGAATGACGGGTGTTCTCAAGGTGGTCATCAATAGCTTCAGGAGAGCGTATGTGGTCTTCTCAGCTGTGTGACTGGTTATCTGCTTCCTGAATACTCATCCATGCTGGGTGTATTGGTTGTTTCTTCCTCATTGCTATGACCAAATACCTGGCAAGAAACAACATACAGTTGTTGAACTTACAGTTCAAGAGGATCCAGACCAGTAATGGCATCAGCTGGTCACACCACCTCTGTAGCAAGAAAACAAAGAAACGGATGTTAGCACTCGGCTTCTTTTAACAAGTATTTTTTTTTATTTTAATTTATGTCTATGTGTGAATACACGCATACCACATGTATGAGAGTGTCTGTGAGGACCAGAGGAGGACGTTGGATCCTCTGGAGCTGGGGTTTTTAGGCATTTGTGTATACCAGGGACTGAACTGTGGTCTTCTGCAAGGACAGCAAGTGTTCTTAACTGCTGAGCCATCTCGCTAGCCCCATGGTCTCCTTTTTCTTTGGCCTGGTATTCCAGCTAGCAATGGAATAGCCCCTACATTTTGAGCCTTTCCACAGATTCTCAGAGGTTTGTCTCCTAGGTGACGGTAGAGTTTGTCAACTTAACCACAATGCCTAGGAAGCCAGAAAAAGTGTAAGGTCAATGGGCTAGAGGATGATGTAAGAACGCGATGTAATTCTGAAACATTTCTTAAAAGAAAGGGCAGAGTGGAAAGATCAAATAGACTTGACATGAACTGTGGCTTTATCCCTTCCCCTCACCCCTCTCATCTATCTTTCTTTCAAAGGAGAGTAGGACCACAGTCACACGGGGCAGTCTCAAACCCACCAGACCAGCCCTAAACTCACAGGCAGGCTGCCTGGAGACCTGTCTTAATTATAGGCAGGACCACTCTCAAGGCAAAGGCCCTAGACTGCATAATGAAAATCACCATTGGAAGTTTTGCATTAGGTTCTCTGCTTCTTGACTTTGGGTGCCCTGTGAACAACTCCCTGAAGCTCCTGCTATTCTGAATCTCCCAGCAGGACAGACTGTGTGCCTTGAACCGTGAGCTGAACTGGGAAAAGGCCGTTCTCCCTTAAGTTGCTTACGTCGGAGTATTTTATCACATCGATGAGGAAAATCACTAAATAAGTGCATACATGTGCTCCTTTAGTTTTTGCTTATAATTTTTTAGAGAGGTGCCTTGCCGTGTTGCTTAAGCCGGCATCAAATCTGCCATTTACAGAGTAGCTGAGATCACAGGTGTACATTGCCTTACAGGTCTCCTAATCTTTAATATTACAGCACCTGCTCTCATGTGCGTTTTGTGTGATTTTTTTTTAGAGATAAAAATCTTGTTAGCCCAGGCTATCTTCAAACCCAAAATTGGTCTGTCACCACACCTGGCTTCACATGAACTCTGAAAAGGTTTAAGAATGAGCCGAAGCAGGGTATGAGGGTACACACCCTTATCTTCCCAGTACTCGGGAGGTAAAGGCAGGTGGAATTCTCTGAGTTCAAAGCTAGCTTGGGCAACATAGTAAGACACTGTTTAAAAGTGTATATGTGTTTAATAATGTCAGAACAAATAAGAGATGCACCCAAATGGAAGCTTCAAAAAACATTAAATGGAACAAAAAGAGTTAAGAGAGGAGGCTTTCATTTCATTTTATTTCTATATAATTTCGATTCTATATAATAAAATTATTATTTTTTCTTTCCGCAGTTGGAAACCGACAAACTGGCTCTCCCCATGAGCCCCAGTCCGCTTAGCCCAAGCCCCATTCCCAGTCCTAACGTGAAACTTGAGAACTCCACTCTCCTGACAGTGGAGCCCTCACCCCTGGACAAGAACAAGGGCTTCTTCGTGGACGAGTCAGAGCCCCTTCTGCGCTGCGACTCCACATCCAGTGGCTCTTCGGCGCTGAGCAGGAATGGCTCCTTTATTACCAAAGGTACCCACATCTGTGAGGCCTGAGGCCATCTCCCTGGCCACTTCCACAGCCAGGTTATAGCTGAGATAACTGAATGACCTATTCAGGAAGATCTCCAAGACAAAAGTGTCCTCAAGGGAGCCACATCTCTAATGAACATGAACACACCTAGAAGGTCGTGACAACCGTGTCCCATCCAGAGCCAGCTTCTATCCTTGGGATGCTATCAAAATGTGTGCTTCAGGGGACATCGGATAAAAGACAGTGCAGCTGATTTGGAGAATTATTTACCACACTTACTAGGTCTAAGGATGAAGAGTATACCCGTTTGGGGAGTCAGAAGTAGTTTTAGTGTTTAGAATTAATCCTAAAATTCACTCTAAGCTAGATTGCACATATTTTCAGCATAATAGAGTGTGTGTGTGGGGGGGGTTCGGTTGGTAAGGTGCTTGCCTAGGAAGCATGAAGCCCCAGCAGACACAAAAACAAGGTGTGGTGACCCTCAGTTGGTATTTTAGCACTTGAGACAATAAGAAATTCAAAGTTAGCTGGGTATGGTGGTAGACTCCTTTCATCTCAGCACTCAAGCAGAAGAGGCAAGCTCTCTGTGAGTTCGAGGCCAGCCTGGGGCTAAATAATGAGATTGTCTCAAAACAAAAACAAACAAAAAAAATTAACGAAAAACTCAGTCATTCTCAGCTACATAGTAAGTTTGAGGGTAGCCTGAGGTACATAAGCTATTTAAAAAAAACATAAATTCAAATAATTATCAATTTGTAAATAATCTGTCAGCTTTGTTATTGAGACAGGGTCTTCTAATGTATCCTTGGCTAGCCTGTGAATTATGTATACCAGGTTGGCCTGGAATTTGCTATCATCCTCCTACCTCTGCCTCCCCTGAATGCTGGGATTCTAAGTGGGCCACCTCACACAGCCTTGATAGTAAGGTAGTGAATTTGATTACACACTGTATTGATGACAGGATTTTGTCAGAAGTTTTCTGGCTTTTAGGAAACTCTTAATCACATCTCAGTGAAGAGTATTACAGATTTATTTTATATTTCATTTTTAAGATCCTCCCTGTCTCATAGACTTTACACAGTTAGAGTAATTCATTTTATATACAAACATTTCTATTGTAATTTATGTTATAAGAAATTTGATTTATTTTAAAGGAAATGCTTGGCGATTTTAATAGACGTTTGCCTGCACTTCACAGTGTGACCCCAAGGAACTCCATTTTCTCATTTTGAGGGCCTTTAGTCTTCCAGTGCTTAGGTTTTGAAGCATTGCATTGCCAGGGCTGGAGACACACACAGTGGGTAAGAGCTCTTGCTGCTAACACAGAGGACCTGGGTTTAGTTCCCAGCACCCACAAGATAGCTCACAAACCTCCTGTAACACCAGAGGATTTGGCAGCCTCTCCTGGTCTCCTTGGACACTGTCTGCATTTCTGATGCACATAAACTCACTCAGGCACAAACACCTATACACATAAATTTAAAAACCTTTAAAATATATATATATTTTAAACATGATGATGCATCTGTAAGGAGAGAGAAGCGGAGTACCTTGGCTTGGGACTTTTGTTCATAAGTGTGGCAGCACTTCTGAGTTTCAGAAGAATTTAGAAGCCATTAAAGACATGACAAGTGTCACATTATTAATACATTAAGAACCCATTCTAGTGTACTGGAGAGATAGCTCAGAAGTTAAGAGCACGGACTGATTTTACAGAGGACCTGATTCCCAGAACCCATATTTGGTGGTTTACAAGCACTTTTAACTCCAGTTCTAGGGGATCTGATACCTCTGGCATCGAACGTACCTACATTCATGTGCACACACAGATACAGGATATGCACATCATTTTAAAATAAGAATAAAATAAAAAAGAATCCACTCAAGTAGTTTCTTATTTCATTTCTATTAAGCAGATCTTTTTCTATTGGTGTTTTTGTTTTATGAGCCAGGGTCTCATGTAGCCCAGGCTGGAAGATGGTCTTGAATTCCTGATCTTCTTGCCTCTACCCTAAGTGCTGGGATTGCAGAATTGGGCCACCACAGCCCTGAAACTCCTGTTTTCTGTTCTTAGGTGCCAGGCAAATAAAGAGACTATGTTTTTAAAATGTACCAGGTCGCTCATTCACGTTGGAGGAAACTTACTAGGCTCAGAATGCAGGCAGCTCCTTAACCACTCCTCCAACCCCCCTCATCTCTCATTTTCCTTTTTTTCTTTTTCCCCGTTCCCCGCAGAAAAGAAGGACACAGTGTTGCGGCAGGTCCGCCTGGACCCCTGTGACTTGCAGCCCATCTTTGATGACATGCTGCATATCCTGAATCCCGAGGAGCTGCGGGTAATTGAAGAGATTCCCCAGGCTGAGGACAAACTGGACCGTCTCTTCGAGATCATTGGGGTCAAGAGCCAAGAAGCCAGCCAGACCCTCTTGGACTCTGTGTACAGCCATCTTCCTGACCTATTGTAGAACACGGGGGCACTGCATTCTGGAAATCAACCTACTGGCAGGGTGATTTCATTTTGTTTCTGACTTTTGTGTTTTGGTGTGTATGTGTATGTATGTGTTTAACAGAGTGTATGGCTGGTGCTTGAGTTTGGGGTTCTTTCTCTTCCTTCCTTCCTTCCTTCCTTCCTTCCTTCCTTCCTTCCTTCCTT